CACCTTCATCTTTTTCACACCGATCGCTTCCAGAGACTTTCCCGAGGTGCCGAAGCAATGATAAGCCGATAGTCAGACTCGATTCGTTTCCATCGCACCGGCCTGGGATCAGCTTAATTCCGCATGGCTCTGTGTGCCAATCCGGGGAGCGAGAAAAAAGAAATTCTAAGAATCAAATAAAATGACGCATAAACGTCGAATTTGCGTGATTAGGGGCTTTTGTAGGCGAAAATTTCCAGCAACCACGTTATAAGAGGGTTGCTACGGTATTTGAATTCATAACGATAAATAAGGTACGGGGAACGGCACGCGGTCAGATATACATATAGTAGACGGTTGAGGACCGTGGAGGAGGGCGAGAGGGGAGAGAGGAAAAAAAGCTACCCTGCAAAAAAAGATTCCAGGCATGTAGGGACCCCGTGTACAAAGGGACAAACATGAAAAATTGCTTATTGTTCTATTTGGCCGCGTCAGAACCGGCAGTCGGGAAATAATGCGCCGCGACAGCTTTCGCGCGTTATGAAAGGAAAAACAAGACGAGCACGTCAGCGTCTCTCGTAGCCACGCTTGTGCCACACTTTTGCCACGCGCTTCCATTGTCCTTTGTAAGGTAGAGAGTCTGCCGAGAGTAAGTAGCGCCAATGGAGGAAGTGCGTGGAAAGTTTATATTTGGAAAGCACTTTGAGTCAGTGGGTCGACGTGATGAAATTTTATTTTTACTGCAAAAATTGAGGCCGGAAGGAAGCTAAGAAACGGGGATGAAATAACGAAGGAAGACAAGCAATTATTACTCAATCTGGAAACTTCAATTTTCGTTAAACTTATCCCTGCTAATAAATATTGAAAACTCTCGCTACGCGACGTTTATCATTTTTACACGTAAAACTGAACTCCCACGGTTTTACAGAGGATTTTACAGAATCGACAAATGGCCATTGGGAGGCGAAGACGCGTGAGGCACGTGGGAACAATAGGAAGGGAAATTTCATGATAACCGGATGAATGGGAAGACATTAAAACGGAAAGGGTTACGAGGGATCGATAATCCCTAAAGTACATAAAATTTCTATCCCTTCGTTTACCCTCGCGTAAGAATATTCGGATCGCGTAATATATCCTCAACGTCTCTATAAAAATTTCCCACGTCAAGTTCTTCAAGGAATTTCAAACGTATCTGAATTACCGGCTCGCTTAACAGATGCGCTACTAATTAACCCGTAATTTTCCAACCGACCAAAACAGCCAACGGCGGATTTTATTCGTCAAATTTTCCAGCAGACTGAGAGGTGCCCGTAGTTCATAACAGGATCACTCGTTTCTAGTGTAAAATTGGCTTGTCCCACTTTCACGCAGAAAAAGGCACTTGTGCGAAAAAGAAGCAAGTAACGCCAAAAAAAAAGTCTCCACTGTTTTTCGTGTAATCGCTTCCTACCAGGAAACTGTCTTTGTCTTCGTGCATATGCCTACTCGCGTAATCTTCCTGGTTTTTTGTTGGCTGTACGACGAGATAAATCTTCGAAGATTATTAGAAAGAAACAGCATTAGATTAAGAGGAAGAAGAAGGCGAGCTGTCAGCAGCTTCGATAAATGATCAGGAATGAAATTGTGCCAAGCGAACCGTCACCAAGGCAATCTATAATCGACAAGAGGATCGGCCATGAATATCTATTTCCCTCGATAACGAAGACCGTGCACCACATGTCATTGAGAGGCCCGCGCGATAAACAAACCTTGCCACCATAAACCGTAACGCGACGTAATCACTGCATACGAGCTTGGATAGGAAACCTTGACGATTCTCCAATAGGCGATCCATTGGAATTTCAATAATCGTAAGAGAAAAAAAAAAGTACTATTTATTAATCGCACTATAACTTTGCCCAAGACCCGTCAACTCTACACCGGCGTTACTGTGCTGTCACTAAATGCACGTTTTCAATCTACCCCCCAATTCGAGTAACACTTCCCGCCTCCACGTGCGAATCTTTGAAAATCCACAATCACGATACCAGCGATTACAAACTCTGAAACGCACTTCGGGTTTAGGATCGGCAAGGGGAGTCCACAACTGCGAGACTCGAGTCGAGTCGCGTGGATGCTGACTCTATACTGCGCGAGCTGCTGCCTCGAGCTCGTGATAGCGACGACTGGCTTCTATGGATACAGAGCATGGCTCGTGCGAGGGAGCGCAAGCGTCCCGACGCTCTTTTTTTTTTTCACGTCTTCTTACCGCACAACCAACACCTGCTGTTATCAAAACCAGCCGCTCAATTCCTTGCGAATTTACGAGGTGCGACATTGTCAAGGGGTACTGGTATCGGCGGTATGATAAATTCTCAAAATTTTTCATTGAAATTTCAAAATTTCAAAGTTTCTCATGGAAACGAAGATTTTTTAAATTTTCACGTTTTTCGATTCGGATACCCGACAAGTCAGGTTCCCTCGAGCGTCCGCTTGGTGCAGGCAAAGTGCAGGAGGCACCGGAATAGAAAATGCTCCGTTACGACTGGAGCCGCACTTTCTCAGCCGTAGAACAGGAAGGTAGCAGAGAGAACAAAGGCTTTCCCACTGGGACGCATCGAAGTTTCGAGCAAAGTGAAATTCGACTGGATAAAAATCAATCCCGGCGCACCATGTCAAACCGATATTTGTTACCCACGAAGAAAGGTAAGAAAAATCTTCTCCTATTTCCTACACAGGATCCCACGTCGTCATTCCCATGATCCGTGGGACGCTTTAACGCTGTGTCGTAAAGAATAATTAAATCCCGCAATCTTCCATCGGCATAGCACGGGGACTCGGTATCCATCACGAAGGAATAATTTTATGCTTCGATCATCAGCGTAAAATTATCCTTGTCCCAGGATAGCCATTGCTTCGTACCCACTGGGTACGGGTTCCAGGAGAACCTTCCACGAGGAGATGACTGTAGGAACGGTTCATCGGCACGAAACGATCGTTCGGTGCGCTTTTGATATTTTATATCTATGAATTTTTAATAACCTAAAGAGCAATAACAATACAGCCGACAATCTTGTTTTTCACGTTACTATTTTTATACGCAACAGCTTGCAAGCTCAGTTCGATATTTTTTTCATTTTGATTAATGCCTACGACATCCAAATTTAATTGTTTTTACGTACATTTCTCGTACTCTAAACTTCTTGAACAAAGACTCGAAATTTTTCATTTGAAATTGCACTATAATCTTCCACAGAGGTAATTTCGAAAGATCTCGCGATCCAACAACAAAAGCGTCATGCTTGGCGTTCCAGCAATCTGTAATCCAGGATTGTAAGAAGAAGAGGGGGCGGAACGGGAGGCTGTGTGAAATCTGTGTTCTACCAAATGATCCCAGTATACGTTCCCTATTTATAATTCGAATAAGTACGTGTAAAAAAGGAGTCGAGGATGTCACGCAAGTTTCTCGTGTAAATTTGGGCGAGAGGGGGGGAGGGGAGGG